AGGTGTTGAAAAATAATAAATCTGAGTGTTGATAACAAAATGCAATGGAAACTTCCATTTTTGTGCAGTTAAGGTATTTTCTACATACTCTCCTAACGACTACACCTTTGTGCCCTGTAACTCTTCTTAACATCTTGGATACATTCCCTACATGGCTAGGCCTTCATTCTGGAGAGTCAGTATTCCAGAAACAGAACATCAAGGAAATACATCTGTCATGACATCAACACATTCTTGACCTGCTCTTTGAATTTCTCAAGTGAAAGACACTGTTAGTTGTTTCTCCCTCTTCGGAGCAAAACATTTAACCTATTTAGATAATATAGAGATTCCCAAAAAACATGGTTTGTGAACCAGTGAGATGGCAGTAGTTCACAGCCCATCGCAGTATGGTCTTGTCCACCTGACGGTAGCTGAAATAAATGAAGAGCTGCTGATTCCTCTGTGCTGTCTGTGGCCAACTTTTACTACAGAATTACCCATGGGTGACTCTGGCTGTGGGTGTGGACTCTCACATGGAAAGAATATCAAGGGAATCAGTCTGACATTGAGTGTGTGCTGAAAAATACCCACATAAGTCTGCCTGGAGTCAGGGCTGCATTTGTTTATGTGTGTAGTTGTGTATATGAGAGTGTCTCTCCATTCCCAGAGTCTTAATTAACTGCTTCAAATATTTGTGGTGTGCTCTGAGACAACCCACGCATTTCCTTCATACGTGACAAGGACACAGCTTATGATGTCCTTCTGCTCTTTCACGCACTAATATCACAAGGGATAGTACAATTCATGGGAAAAATAGGTGTGAAGGAGCCCCAGATATCTTCTGTAAGTTGCTCTGCTGGACTGTAGCCAACGCTATTTTCAAACAGTGGGGGGAACTGCGTTTCTTAGAACAGGAATAACAAGAACCCTAAATGTCTTTCGATAGATAATAAAATATATTACTAACAGATAACTTACATGTATATGACTAACAGATAACTTACGTTTAGCATTCCAGCCCCTTTTATGGTTATGATATAGAGAGGTAATATGTGCAAATTGGTTTACACTTAGTATATTCTGTTCAATAAGCGTTAGCTTCTGATAGTATTGTGTTGTGATAGTATTTTATTGTCAATAATAAACTTAGTAGTAGTATAAAAATTGTGATGGTATTGTACAGCAGCCCCATGTACAGTCTATACTGCATCAGATCTTTCTTGATTTCTACATAATATATTTTAAATGCCATTTAATGCAGTTGAAAGGATTTGGCTATGAATGTGTAATGTCTCTTTTTAAAAAAATTGTATTAATCGTCACTAATTTTCAGATTCAAAATCTCTGTAGTGATCTCCCTGTGGTTTTCCATGATTCCAAATGTTACTCTTTAACTGTGTTGGGATTTCTATGGACTCTTGCATTCGGAAGCCAAGTAACTGTGGAGGCTGAATTGGTGGCCGTTGCTCTTGAGACTTTTGCTAGTCCTCATCCCATCAGCATCAGTGTACCTGAGATACCCTCTCTTCTTCTTCCTTTTCTTTGGATTAAAGCAGTCCTTCTCATTTTTTTTCCTGGAGCGTGAAACTACAAATTCCCATGAGATCGCTGCTATATCAAAATGTTGGCAGCAGCTTGACTTTTCTTTCAAGTTGGATGTTCAATGATCAAATCATACATTAATTTTACTTTCCAGACCATAACAATCCCAGGTTTATTTTAGTATCCAAGAAACATTTCAATTTATATACCACCAAGTAAAATGAATTCTCCTGGGCTTTTCTCCTTTCTCTTTCTCTACCAAGACCTCTGTTTGAGGAGAATTTTCTAGCATATTCTCTAGAAACGCCCTGTTAACAATAATCCTTAAATGCATATTACACACCAATACCTTTAAATGGCTTAGCTGAGCTGAATACCTAGTACATCTTGTGGGAAATGATGCACAGGACGGAGGAGTCTTTTTGGAGGAGATGTGGTATAAACTGGCTAGTGAGGAGGAGTTTGAGAGGGACAGTGACAGAGAAGAGAGATGGATGCGAGTTGGTCAGGGCAAATTGCTGCACATAAATGGGAAAAAGTCAGCATGAAAAAGGAATGCCATCCAGGATGGGGGTTGTTAATAAACTTCACCCTTTACAATTTTGCCTAAAATGCGTCTTTTCTGGTTCTGGTACCCTAATTGGGAGGACTCAAGGAGTTGATTCCTTAACGACAGAACAGAAAGATGACCTTTATTCCTCCTTCTTAAAAAAATAGAAAGCAAAATTTTTACGTAAATGTTTCCATAAATAGAATGTTTACATAGCATTACTAAATGCTTCATAACTTAGTCTTTCATTTTTTCTCCTTCTCTTAGTTAGCAGTTTAAATTCTCTGTCTGTTCTTTTCTGCCTGTATTGCTCAGCCAAAACTTGTTGCCTCCTGGTTATCAGGAGATGGCGTGTTGTGTTTTTGTGCAGTGGCACAAACTGTTTTCTCCAATTGGCTATTGTTTTCTAGAGAGACTGACTTATATTTACCAGAACTGGCACAGTCTGGCATTTAGGCCTGGATGCCACCTCTCCAAACTGATCAGATGACCTTCTGGCTGATTGAGGAGACATGTTTTCTAGCGTGCTGCAGGAGAAGGGATGTGTGAGCATTATGCATCAGCAGCACCTAGCTTGATATTTTTCATGTTTCACTGTTTTTTTGCAATTAACGAAGATGCCAACTTTGCATTTGTTATGCTTTTTAAAATGCTTGATGAAAATTTCAAAACTAAAAGAAAAGGGAGCACTTAAAAGTAATACTCTGAAAATGAGTGTGGGTATAATCTCTTTATTAATACAGTTTGGTTTTTAAAGGAATCTTTCCATTTGTAAAACCAGTAGCAATATACTGTACATGTCTCTGTGAATCAGACTCTTGTAGATCCATTTTAAACAAGTTAGTAAAATTTATATTAAAATATGCACAATGCCAAGATATTTGCTATATCTTGTTTTTTTATAGGAGTAGAATTTGTTAACTGTTTTTCATATCATTTTATACTATAGTTTACTTATGATTATTTAAATCACAAACAACTTTTCAACATATTATCTTTAATCCTTAGGGAGGCAGAAGAATATTTTCGTTTTTTCAGAAGAGAAAATGGTCCAGGGAAAAATTTTTGGAGCTAAAAACTGAACTAAGATCTTCTGACTTTTGTCCCCGCCCGTGGGTTCTTGGCATCCCTGATCTTCCTGAGTCTCCAGATGCCATCTCTAAGTCCTGTCAGATGTGCCACCGGGCACTGGTTTTCCTTTTATCTGTGTGGTTTTCTTGGGTAACAGGAGCAGGAGGCTTTCCTGTGCTCTGTAGAGAGTGCACGATTTGCCTTGAAGAGACACCATATCGTGGAGTGGTTAAGACTATGGGCTCCGGAGCCGGCACTGGACTTCATTTAAGCCCCAGCTCTCCCACTTAGCAGCACTGTGACTCTGGCAAGGGGACTGCTCTGGGCCTCAGTGCTTTTCATCTGTATACTGAGAATAAGAAAGTGCCTATCTCATAGGGATGTGGTGACAACTGAATGACTGAACATATGTAAAGTGCCAAGAAGAGTACCTGCACAGAGTGAGCACTTTCTATGTTGTACTGTTATTATCATTACTTAAGAACTGCAGTTTTCAAAGTGGATGTGACTTCATTTTTCAACGTCCAGAGGGAACGCATGTCTACACTGTTAAAACTAGTTCCCAAAATTCTGCTGGTGTGGTGAATATTTTTCCCTTAGAAAATCTGTCTCTAGCTGACAGATTGTTTCTTCTCTAGTCTTTAGTCTTAGTCTAAATTATAAACATAGTATGTGGAATAGGCTGCTGAACCAAGAGGGAGAGGACCTGGACTTTCGTCCCAGCTCAGTCATTAACCAGCTATGACCTTGGGTCAGTCATTTAACGTCATCGGGCTCAGCTTCTTTCCTCCTCGTGAGAAGGCTAGACTACAAGATTTCCAAGTTTACTTCTAAAACCCCATTCCATGACTTAGCCTTTCTCCGAGTCTCCACTGTGTGGAAGAACTTTCCAGCAAAGGAGGTTACACTGAACCTCCATGTCCTCCCCTACCATCCTTCACAGTTTCGGGGTCGTTCGGTCAGGCACTGCCGTGAGAATGGAGAGGAGGGAGGGAAGGAACTGCTCCCTCTTTTGTCTGCACTAGCAAAACATGTTCTGGCTTCCCCACACTTAGTCCTTCATGCCCCCGGGCCAGCGTCAGCACATACGCTCGATCATTATAACGATCAACTAAAATAAGAAATAAAAATAATGGGAAAAGCTCTTTCTTGGGCCCTAATGTAACTGACAGCTGGTGATTTCCTGTGACCCTTGTTTGCTTTTTGTTTTGATTGACATGCTGAGCCTCTGGAGCCTCTCTTTCTCCATCAGGCAGATGGGAACATTGTCCTCAGGATGATGGGAAAGACAGAAGGAATGTCGGCAATTAATAATTTATCAAAAGGCAGATTGCAAGGATAACCCAATAGGTAAAAAACGAGCTCATAAGGCATGTGATTTACTTTAAAGGAGATGTTTTGCTTTGTAAGCTCTTGGACACTGAGGGGCTGATGTAATTTTCAGTTCTTTAAGGAAGAGCTTCTTTGCTTGTTTTCTCTCAAGCCTAGGAATGCTGGACCTGGGTGGGACAGGGCTGCAGTAGTGTGTGAAGTCTCAGACCACAGTGATGGAAGGGCTGACTGTGCTTGGTACATTCGGAGCAGCGTCCCCCTGAGGCGGTTCCCTACTACAGGAATCTCAGGGGGTTGCTGGTAACCAGAGAGCCGATCAAGAAGTTTGAGGTCTTCGGCTTAAAGAGCAAAGACCGTCAATAATGCTAGGAAAGAACCTTGGGCTCAACCTTGGAAAAGCGAGCTTTCGAGTCTGGGTCTGTTTCCTCACTGAGTAACAGCACTAAAGCTGTGGAGTGATGTCTCTCAGGATATGTCTGGCCCATAACTCTCTTCTTTGGTGTATATTTCTGCCTGTTTGTAGGGCCAAGGAGATCTGTTGAAGAATGCCAAGAACGAAGCTATAGAAAACATGAAGCAGATCCAGCTGGCGTGCTTGTCTTGTGGACTTAGTAAAGCCCCCAGCAGCGGTTCCGAGGCCAAGAGCAAGCGCAGCCTGGAAGCCATAGAGGAGAAGGAAAGTGGAGAGGAGAACGGGAAGCTGTGACCCCGGGCAGGTCACCCGTCCTTCCTGTCGTGGACTCTGGTTTTTCTTTCTTGTTTTCTTTCTTTAAGCTTTTTAAAAGTTCACAAAAAGATGCCCTCTGTGGGGTGTTGGACATAAACAGATATTTTCACAGTGTCAGTATTTTATCGTAGTTAATTTATCTAAGTTAAAATCTTTAGTAACAGTTTTAAATTCTGAGGTGTGTGTACACACCCATGTATGGATGTGGGTGGAAGTGTGTGTATGTGTATGTGTGTGTGTGAGAGAGAGAGAGAGGGAGAGACAGAGAGAGAGAGAAAAAGAGAGAGAGAGAGAGAAAAAGAGAGAGAGAGAGAGAGACTGTTAAAATCTATTCTGTGTTGCATTATTCATTAGTAAGTTATTACTTATCATTTGGGGACAAATTTGTTAATCTGAAATCCTAAAGAGCACTTACTATAACCTGTTGCTGTGTTTAATTTTACTTCTCTACATTTGTCATTTAATTTAGAGATCTTAACATAGCTTCTTATTGAAGGAAGCCAAATTTACCAATGCATAGATGCTTTGATAGATTAAATGTAGATTAGGAAAAGTCCTAAAAATCACAGTAGAAACAAAAGTGAATGAAAGATAAACAAATGATCAGAATTTCTGAAAAGATCAGCAAAGTCATTTATTTCTTCAGTTAGTGAACTCTTTAAAGTATTTATTAAATAAAATCAATTTTTAGAAAGTTTTCTGTAGTTGTTTACTAAACAGATATGATTTCAAAGGAAAAGCTGATCATAAGTGAATTTATTTACCCACCACTGTGGTACTCTGAAAGGCTGAGAACTCTGTTGTAATTAGGGTTTTGGTGTGACAATAAGACTCAGTTATGAAATTTCAGGGTTGAGATTTGTGGGAAGATCTCATTCTTCCAAACTGGGAGTCTAGCATTCGTTTTCTTTAACAGACATGGCAGCTCGGAGGTTTTGGCTTTGCTCAAATTTAATTTAGAGTACTAAATTTAAAATATTGTTCAAATAATACCATAGCACATTGAGCTGATAGAAGTTCTGTGGGTCGGATAACATCTTCATGATGGTTTAAGAACTAACTGATTACAAAGCATCTGTGATATGACTTTAACACGTGAAGAAAAACATACACACAAAAGAAGCAAATGACTCATTAGGGTACATTTATAATTGCATCCAGATCATTTTTACCCTAATTTCTTCATGAAGTGCTTGAGTGTAATATGTTTGTTACCTCCAACAGAACTAAATGTTCTATGATTATGAAAATATATTTATTTAAAACATTGCTTTTATTTTGAAAAGCTTCTTAATTAATTTGATTAACAAATACGCGAATTTGGGGGAACATAGGGAAGATAATTGTTGAAATTTTGCAAATATAAACATCTTATATAGCTACCGTGTTAAGTTATTTCTGACTTCTTAACACTATTATGTTCATGTTGCACATTACTGAAAGAGTAAAGATATGAAACAACACTTTTATTGTTCTCTTTTATTGTGAATTAATTGAAAAATGAAAGATAAAGAAAATGGGTTATTATATCAAAGATATCTTAAAGAGTATGATATTTTTATGGACCAGATATGATGAAATTTCTCCTTTGGTTTAAAACTGGGCACTTGGGGAAGTACCTGAGCTCATTTTAAGGTAGGTTTCCGATGATACTGCAATAGCCTGAAAAAATGTCTTGAGCTTCCATTATCCTTAACCTGCATGGTTGAAGGAATAGTGGAATGGAGGTATCTAAGTCCCTTATGTTGAAAAAAAGGTGATATAGTCAGAAACAAAAGCTACCATACATCGGCCAGCTGGTTGGCTTCACCTGTGGACCTCTTTACTTCCCTGCATTCACTTGGTGAAATCCTTGCCTTTTCTGGTGATAGAGAGAGATGGGAAGAGAAGATCAAGGCAAACTCTCCAAGAATATTTATTCATTTCTTTACTTGACGGTCAAATCCAATCCATGAAAGTGGCTTCCCTAGTTTATTCCATTTGTCCTGGAGCTCCACCCACACTAAGGACCTATCCGAATCTTCTTGAGAACATGATATGGATTCCACCCCATCTAAGGCTACTTCTGGCAAAGAGTTGCCAGCTGTTCTCTGCTCCATTGCTTTGAGTATCATTGCTAGATAGGGAGTGAGGTGTGGGGCAGGAAGGAGCTTTAGATTGTGACAGTAGAGAAGTTGCAAGGGAAAAGGTCCTGATGATGGTCTTGCCTCTGGATGGAATAGCAAAAACACACAAAACTTTTTACGTTATTACAGTCTGTGAGTGTCTGTCTCCTTACCAGACTTGAACTGAGGTAGAAAAAGCCCTCTTCTATGCACAGTTTATGGGTGAGAAAGCTCAAGGCCATTGGCATCATATATGGAAGAACCGACTTTGAATTCTAGTCTGTCTGATTTTATGTGCAAGAGTATTTATTCAGTGATTTTGATTTTTAATTTAATTCTCAAAATTTTAAAGTAAACTATTAACTTTTTTCTTTATAACCACAAGTGAAAAGAACTTTATTGCATTTTCTGATACTAAAATACTAATGATCAATATAAAAATGCAAAAAGAGAGAAATGTTTAAAAAATAAAAATCACCTGCTATTAACATTTAGATTTATACACCTTCAGGCACTGTTTAGAGTTTATACATACATGTAAATAAGCTTTCATTTTTAACAAAAATGAGGTCATGTTATACAAACTATTTTGTAACAGGCTTTTTACAACAATAAAAACGCTACATCATGGATCTCTTTCTATGTCAATAAACATGTATGTACATTGGAGTGCTCAGCCTTTGAATTGCATCTAGTCCATAAATGACATATTTTATTTGGCCACTGAATCTTTTAAAAAAAATTTTAAACAATAAACAGCTTTTAAAAATCAGGAGATTTCACATAGAAAATATGATTTTCGACTTCTTTTAAAATGTTGGGTATTATGACAACACCAGACACCCTCTCTTCTTACTTGGCATCAATTAATTGGAGCTGCCATCTCCAAAAGGGGCATGTGCTGTCCAGTTTGCCAAGAGCCTCTTCACTCCTTTAGGTTACATCCTGCCCTTCTGGATGTCTTGGGTGATGATCCTCGATCCAACTCATTATTTATAATACTGGCAATGTCTTAGATGGATTATTATATTTAACCAATTCCCTATTGTTAGACTTTTCTCTCCTAATTTCTTGTTATATAAGCACTGCAGTGATGAAAATCCATTTTTGCAAAGTTTTTCAACTCTTCCTTTAGGATAAACTTTTAGAAGTAGAATTATTGGGTGAAAAGATACATATATTTTTTAGGGATTTTGAGATACATTGCCAAATAGTCTCCAGAAAACTTGTCCACTTTAAATTCCCACCAGGAGTTTATGAGAGTGCTCAAATCTTGGCTAATACCAAATTTATTTTTTCTTATTTTCATCTTTGCCAATCTACTCAGTTAAAAAATCTTATTTCTCTTTATCTTTACTCTCTAGTGAGATTGAACATGTTAGTATGTTCACTGACTATAAAAAATCTCCTATAGATTATCTATTTTTGTTTTCTGCTCACTTTTGGGTAAGGGTGGTAAATGTTTATCTTTTTATTATCTATTTTTAAGAGACATTTGCTTAATGAGAATCTTAACCCTGTATTTGTCATATGTATTGCTAATGTTTTTTGATGTACAGATCCCTAATTTAAGTTATAATTTTTTTCCTTTGTGGTTGGTGTTAAGACGTCTTTGCCTTTCTATGCTCGTGAAGATATTTTCTTATAGTATCTGCTAGTAGCTTTCTTGGTTTTCACATTTAAATATGCAATCTCCCTAGAATTGATTTTTGTGTATAGTGTAAGATAGAGGTCCAATTTTATTTTTTCCCAACATGGATAATCAATTGACCCAGTCCATTTATTGTAAAGATAAATGTCCTTTGTCCATACCTCTGTAGTGTCACATTTTCCTTGTGAAAAATGAAGCACCCATGTCTGTGTGTGTCTATTTCTGGAATCTATTTGGTTATGATGGTCTGCGTCTGTCCTGGCAACATTACTGCGCTGTCTTCGTTGCTATAGCTTTATAATGTTTTGATATCAGAGAGTGTAGGCTTCCCACTTCTCTTCTTCAGCATTTTCTTGTTTATTTTTGGCTCTTTGAATTTCCATATAAATTGTAGAATCAGCTTGTCAATTTCTATCAGACACCTGCTGGAATTTTGATTGGTCTCACATTGAATGTATATATCATTTTGGGGAGTTCTGACATATTTACATTATTGAGTATTCTAACCCATTCACATGGTGTATTTCTCTATTTATTTAGGTCTTATTTAATTTCTCTTACTACACTTTTATAGATTTCTGTGTAAAGGCCTTGCACATCTTTCATTAGATTCATTCCTAGGTTTTTGATGGTTTTCATGCTATTAGAAATAGTAACATTTTAAAATTCAAATTTTCAAATGCTTATATATGGGATATAGAAAGTACAATAGATTATTTTATGATGGCTATATATAATGTGAAATTGCTAAATGTACTTGTTAATTTTAATTATCTATATATTATTCTGGATTTTATAGGTATACAATCCTGTTATCTGCAAATAATGACAGCTTTATTTTTTTCCTTTCTGATCCTTATACATTTATATTTATATGTCTTATTGATTTTTCTTGCTTTGTTGAACTGGTTAAAATTTCCAGTACAATATTCAATAGAAATGATGTTAATGAACATCCCTTCTCATTCCCAATCTCAGAGGAAAGCTTCCAATATTTCATCATTATTATGATGTTTACTCTGGGTTTTGGAGATTGTGCTGGGGAATTTAAAAGTTTTTAAATGCAATTTCTGCCACTTATAAAGAGATAAAACTATAAAACTCAGAAGAAAATATAGGAGTAAATTTTGTGATCTTAGGTTAAGATCATGAATTTTAGATATGACACCAAAAACACAAGTGACAAAAGAAGAAATGAGATTGGACTTCATCAAAATGAAAAACTTTTGTACTTTAAAGGACACCGTCAAGAAAGTGAAAAGATGATCTACAGAATGAGTTTGCAAATTATATATCTGATAAGGGACTGGCATCCAGAATATATAAAAAACTACTACGACATCATAAAAAGAAACCCAATTTTAAAAATGGACAAAAGATCTGAATAAACATTTCTTCAAAGAAGATATACAAATGAGCAATAAGCACATGGAAAGATGCTCAATCTCGTTAATTGTAAGGAAAATTTAAATCAAAACCCCAATAAGGGTCTGTCCCAGTGGCATAGTGGTTAAGTTCACGTACTCTGCTTCAGTGGCCATGGTTTGCCAATTTGCATCCCGGGCACAGACCTATACATGACTTATCAAGCCATGCTGTGGCGGTGTCCCACATACAAAATAAGGAAAGATGGGCACAGATGTTAGCTCAGGGCTAATCTTCCTCAAAAAAACAAACCAAAAAAAACCCAAACTCCCACAATGAGATACCATTTCACATCCACTAGGATAGCTATAATAAAAAAGACAGATAATAACAAGCGTTAATGAGGATGTGGAGAAATTGGAATTTTACATACAGCTGGTTGGAATATAAAATGGTACAGCTGCTTTGGAAAACAGCCTGGCAGTTTATCAAAAGGTTAAACATAGTTACCATGTGACCAGTAATTCTACTCTTAGGTATACCCAAATGAAATAAAACATGTCCACACAAAAACTTGTACACAAGGGTTCATAGCATAATTATTCATAATAGTGAAAAAGTGGAGACAATCCAAATGTCCATCAACTGGTGAAAGGATAAACAAAAACAGTATATCTATACAATGAATTATTCAACAGTAAAAAGAAAGGAAGTACTGATACATGCTACAACATGAATGAACCTGGAAAACATTATGCTAAGTGAAGGAAGCCAGGCACAAAGGCCACATACTGTATGATTCCATTTATATGAATTTCCTATAACAGGCAAATCTCTGGAGACAGAAAGTACACTAGTGGTTGCCAGGGGCTGGGAGGAAGTGGAATGGGGAGTGACTGCTAAGGGGTAAGAGGTTTCTTTTTGGGGTGATGAAAACATTCTGGAATTAGATAGTGGTAATGGTCACCCCGCTTTGTGAATGTACTAAAAAATATTGTGCAGTCTAAAAGGGTAAATTTTATGGTATATAAAGTATCAGTAAAAAAAGTTATAAAAAAAGAAATATAAAGAGAAAAGAGAATTTACATAATGAGCCAGTGAATAGTGAAATAACTCCAAGAAGTCTAATATATATGCAATTGGAGAGGGTGGGAGAGAAAAAATATTTGAAGAAGTAATGACTGAAAAAACCTCTTATTCTTTTATGAAAACTATAAACCCACAGATCCAAGAATCTTTAAAAAAATCTCAAGGACAAGAATGATGAGGGAAACAACTAAGGCACATCATAATCAAATCAAATTGTTCATAAGTAGTGATAATGAGAAAATCTTAAAAGTAG